CGCCACTGCCCCCTCCTGCACTGCCATTGCGCCACCACCGGAGGGGGGGCGATGATAACTTCCTCAATGGCTCAAGGGGGTGATTCCTTCAAAAAGGTTAAGAACCACTGCTCTAAAGCACCCTTCCATCTGCTGGGGAATCAATCCAGCCCAGTCCCCAAAAGTAAATGCTTGGGGTTGTGCTGGAGTGCATGTCCCTATAGATAATCTTAGAAGTTCAACAATCTTTACTTCTGACAATCTATCTGTGAATTTGAGCACCTTTGTGTAGATACCAGAGGCACAAATATGGCAGATGAAGAAACAAAAGAGAGGTCCTCTTCTGCTGGTAGAGAACCATTAAACCCTGCAGAAAACAGCAGTCAAAACAGTCTTTGCCACTCATTGGGTTCCATCCACAAGCTTCTTTCATGCCTCTGGGGAATATTCCCGATAGCAGCACTTGGGCTGTGACTTGACAACTGGATACAGAGGAAGGATTATCCTTCTGATACTCTCTGACTTACCAGTGGTTGCTTCCTCCCCCATTTGGTCCTCTTGGAATCTAAATTAATAATAACCTTTGAACTGCAGAACTGGAAGATACCCTATGGATCATCAAGTCCAGCCCGTCTCAAGGAGGCGCAGTGGGGAATTGAACTCCCAACCCCTGGCTTCACAACCAGAGACCTAAGCTCCTGAGCTATCCAGCAGTTCTTCTCTCCATTTCTACTGGAACCAATTAGGAAGAAGTGGTTTCCAAAAGGTTCCAAAGCATTCATGGAGCCTCGTTTCTCTGACTTTGTTACAGAATTAGCTTCACTGAACCTAGTCATGATCCACTACAAATCTAATTAGCTGCAAGTGGTCTGTTCCCAGTTCCAGCTGATCAACCAAAATAATTCCCTCTGGTGTCCTCAGAAAACCCATCACGGCTGAGCCCTGCCACGCACCGGTTGTATGGAGTCTACAAGCTAAAGAATGCAAAGCTTTATTAAAGTTGTGTTCGCAAAGCTTCACGGATGCAGTGATAGCCTAACAACAGTGCCTCTGATGGAGTAGCAGCAGTCAGATAACAGGAAAGGAAGGCAGGGGAGAAAGGGGGGCGACGGTGTAAGATTGTTTTTGTGAGAATATGTGACTGAAAGGTACATATTCTGGTGTCTGTGTACTGTCTATGTATTTACAATTACATGTATGTATTCTGTGGTTGTGCAAGATGCACACACAAGCAAGCATCTATGGACCATGAACACAAGTGCGATGGGTGTTGACATTCATAGTTTATCCAGAGATATGTATAAGAGACAGCTTCCCCTGCTAATTAATGTTATTCTTATACAGTATATTAATCTTCATTTTGGTGCCCTTCAGATGTGTTGGGTTACACGTTGCATAAGATCACAACCCATGTGGGTTTATGGGAATGGTTGCACAAGTTGTCTGGAGGATACGAAGTTGGGGAAGGCAGACTATGTGGAAGGAGAATGTGTGAGAGACAGATTAAGAAAGAGAGAAAAGGAGGGGATGGAGCAGAGTAGTTTTTCACATCACCTGCTAGTTTTGCCCTCTTCCCCAGATGTTTCTTTTTCAACTAGTTCTATCAAGGGTATCCTGGTAAATTCAGTGCTGGTCTCTGTTGGAATTTTGCCTTCCATTCCTCTATAATAGTCATGCAGAAGTCTCTTGGTATCCTGGAAACGGTCTGCTTCAGCCTGTATTATATACGCACACATATATAAGAGGAACAAACATTTCAACCAAGTGTTTGATGCAACCTTAAGAGGTAATACACCAAGTAATTCCTAAGGCATCAAATAGCTGTACATATATTAAGGGGGAATGGATTCACAAATGCCTTGAATCTTAAAATAGTTTTAGTACATAAGGTGCTTATGTCTCAATTGAAACTGGATAGAGATGGTACAGCAGCAACTGCAGTTCTACTCCTCTAGAAGACGTGACAGCCCACCACATGTGCTTTACTACAAAATGTATGGAAAGCTATTGCTTTGGGTGGTAAACATGCCAGCAAGTCTCACAATTCTCTTGAACATTAATGAAGAGCGGCCTCTTAATGCTATGGTTATCTATACCGGAGCAATATAGAGTTCTGCCTGCACCATAGCTGTTGCAGGCCTCCTAGAGACCGGTGAAAATTTGAATACGTACTCTTTGGAAGACCTTATTATTATTATTTTTTTTTGCATCTTGCTTCTGTTTTGATTTTGATTTTTGGATTTAGCACAAAGATCAGACTGTTTGTATGTATGTATGTATGTATGTATGTATGTATGTATGTATGTATGTATGTATGTATGTATGTATGTATGTATGTATGTATGTATGTATGTATGTATGTAATGATTGTTACAGAAGACACCCAAATAGCTGACCAGATAGGATCTACAACTAGATGTACTATAACTCAAGGACTGCACATCTCTGAGAAAGAAATTTCTCTCTGACTACTGGGTAATACTCTTACTTTGACTCCGACTGTGTTTTTGCCTACTGTGTAAACTAATAACTCTCCAACTTTTCTGATATGGGGATTGCTATGCATCTGAATGCCTCTCTCCCCAGCCAAATAGAAGCTCTATACTTTGACATAATGTAATGATTGCAGATGGACATTTCCATCCCATGTAGTGGAACCTGATGCTTCAAGCTGATTCTCCAAGGCTGCAGTCTTCACTTTGGAACTTCCATTTAAACTAGAAGAATCTGGCCTTAACATCTGATGAAGATAATTTTGGAACTTCCCCCAGTCCCCAGTTTTCTGCGCAGTGCCCATTGAAGACTCCTGGAGAAATCAAAAGCTAGCCTGAAAACTTTTGTGGCCCAATAAAGGTATGACCCAACTTTGGTTTTAGATTTAACACAAGAACCACATGGGGTCTTTTTCTTTGGTGTTCATTAAAAGGTTAGCCATCAGATTGTACTCAGGCCCTTGATTCCCATTTCAAAAGCCAATTCTCTTTGATGGTTGCTGTGGGTTTTTCAGGCTCTTTGGCCGTGTTCTGAAGGTTGTTCTTCCTAACATTTTGCCAGTCTCTGTGGCCGGCATCTTCAAAGGACAGGAGTCAGAACTCTGTGCTCTGGTGCAGTTTGTTTGGATAGTTGAGTATTTATAGCTGTGGGATTTTATCCTTTTCAGGAGATTGGGTTATTATGGTGCTCAGCATGTTTTTGTCGTGGAAGTACTGTTGTGATAAGGGGGACAGATGATCTGTCACTGTGGTTGATGGGTGTCGTTAGCTGGTCTTTTGTGTGCAGTAATCACTGATCCTTGTGGCTGGGTAGAGTTCGTTGACCAATTTTGCAGGCTGTTTTTTTCAGTGCTGGGAGCCAAGTTTTATTGAGTTTCAAACTTTGTTTTTGTTGAAGCTCTGCTGGTGTTTGTGGATTTCAATGGCTTCCTTGTGCAGTCTAACATAATGATTGCTGGTGTTGTCCAGTACTTCAGTATTTTGAAATAGAATTTAATGTCCAGCTTGTTTTAGGACATGTTCAGCTACTGCCGATTTTTCCGATTGTTTTAGTCTGCAATATCTCTCATGTACTTTGATTCTGCTGCGAATGCTGAGTTTTGTGGTTCCAATATATACCTGTCCACAACTGCAAGGTAACTGGTATGCTCCTGCTGTGGTGAGGGGGTCCCTTTTGTCCTTTGCTGACGGTAACATTTGTTGTATTTTTGTAGTGGGTCTGAATACTGTTTGTAAGTTGTTGTTTTTCAAAAGTTTCCCCATGTGGTCTGTGACCCCTTTGATATATGGCAGAAATACTTTATTTGTGGATGGCTATTTTTCTTCTTCAGTTTGGTGTTGTTTTTTGTTTGATGGCTCTTTTGATTTCATTCTTGGAATAGCCATTTGCCTGTAGGGCTCAATTCAGATGATTGAGTTCGATGCTGAGAAATTGAGCTTCACAGTTCCAATTTGCACGGTCTAATAGTGTTTTGATTATGCCTCTTTTTTTGTTGTGGGTGGTGGTTGGGGTTTTTGTGTAGGTACCGGTCTGTGTGGGTGGGTTTTCTGTCAACTTTGTGTCCCAATAGGAGGTCAGTTTTGTGTATGACCAGGAGATCTAAGAAAAGGAGTTGGCCCTTTATTTCTTTTTCCATGGTGAATTGTATATTTGGATGGATGCTGTTGAGATGGTTTAGACTTTGCCTCTCCCATTATCAGCCTGAAGCGCTGGTTGTATCATGGTAACTATGGTTTATTCTGGTTACTGCTAACTAGAATTTACTGTTAAACATTTGTATAATGACTTCCAATTCATATTAAGAATAAAGCCTAATTAGTAGTAGTCAAGGTCACCACTAGTGGAAGCAAAATTTACCTTTGAAAACTAGAGTCCAGCATCCACGAGCCAGCAGCTACTGGACATATTGCCTGGCAAATTCTGGAACTTGTAGTTCAAACAATGTTGTCAAATTTGGGTGCAAAGACGGTGACTAGCTATGATTAAACCAAGCAAATGTTTGGGAAATAGACCTGCAATTTCTGGTATGATCCTAAGTCAAAAATATATTCAATACTCCTTACTTTCAGTCTATAAATAACCTTAAATGTAAAGCAACAGTTGCATGAAGCGGGTTTTTCCAGGTTCAAAAGATCTATCCATTTAGAGTATAGACAAGAAACATTATGCACCTGTCATCCTTTTTGATTTATTATTAGAACAGAAGCCTCTAAATATACAACTGAAACACCAAAACGGCCCTGTGCATTCATGGGAAAATTCATAAAACCACAGTCTCAAAAAGTGGAGGAGGGCATCATGGTGTAAAAGAGCAATTGTGTAGAATGATCACTAGATCAAAGGTTCAGGCTGGATCCTCTCTAGCTCAGTGTCAGACCTGAGCACTGCCAAGTTAGACAGCCTTGGGATCCAGGCAAGGTCAAGCAAAAGCAAAATAGAGACAGAGCAAGAGACGGGAAAGACAAAGTGAACTGGAGCAGAGGAAAAGCAAAGCAACAGGGCAGTCATTTCCAGTTTAGAATAAAGATCTCCTGAGGTCTTAAATCAGCTGGCGGGGCGCAGTGGGAGGACAAAAAACAAGAGATGAGAGACCGTTTTAAAATGAAAAATAATAATAATAAATTGGAGATGTTGGGGGAGCATTGCTGGGGATGCATGCACTCTTCAGGCTAGACTTTGTATGTCCCCTGCCAAACCAGCGAGTTCAGGAATAATGTAGAAGGTGCAACACCCCTTGTTACCTTGCACAACCTAATGCGAATTGTTACAGGCTTCTGCTCACAGAGCAGTGCAGATTTAAATGGTCAATGGCCAGCCTTAGTCTCAGGATGCATGAACGCAGACAAATTCGCTGCAACTCAATCAGGGTCCAAGAATATAACAAGACTGCAAATGGCAAGCATCACAGCAGCAGGATAAACCTCACTGATGCAAGAAAGCAGAGGAGGATACTGTAGCTATATGGCTATAGAAATTTACTAAGTCACTTCTAGCTTCAGTCAGGAATTTGCAAACCACAGTGATGCCAAGATCTAGATCCACGTATTTGGCCCCTTGGTTCCTTTTTAGAAAAACACACATACACACACACATACACACATACACATACACACACACACACACACACACACACACACACACACGCAATTCTAGACCTGCATAAGTGAAAAAATATGGTTCATCAGTAGCCCCATCCGGTCTGGCAGCCATCCATTGCTCATGATTTCGCAACGCTCTTGCTCAGCTTCTTCCCTCCTATTTTCACAAATATCCCACAGACGATCTCTCAAGTCCTAAAAAGGTGAAAAACAAAGGTATCCCATTGTCAGACACATCTCACTCCCTAAAAACACACACCTTGAGATACAAACTACAGTTAAACATCTCTGAGATATTTAGGTTGCTGTTTCAACTCTCTGAAAGGGACTATTTCCATTTCTACCAAACCAGTAGCTTCTGCTGTCTTTAAGGAAACTTAAATAAGGAGCCATGCTTGAAGAGCAAAACCTTTGACCCATGATTTATCCATGGACCATCTATCAGTAGCAGAGCGATGCTACTTGGCTGCTCATTCATCCTTCCACTAAATCTCCCTGACAAGACAGTAGAGCAGCAGAACCTGGACCAGCACTCTCAACTTGACAAAGGCAGTGACCACTGAAGTCCGAGTGGCGGTGCAAGAAAAAGGGCTAAATGGAATTCTCTTCGACAAGCCTTCCCCCCCTTTCATCAGTTCTAACACCTATAGAGACAAAGAGAATTCAACATACCTAGAGGCTACCATGTAACTGAACATTATATGAGAACATTGTGATTGTTTCCTATTAAGACATTTTCTAAATCTAGAAAACAATCAAAATGAAATCATTTTCAAATGATAATACTCATCATTTTATTTTAAAGCTGTGCCTAGTTCAGTGATACCACTATCCCCATGGCTATACACCCCACAAATTATTATTTTTTTAAATCATAACCACAGAACACAAATATGAAGTTAAATATTCATATCTAAATTACAGTAAACCATTGCATGGAGTCTTGCCTTTGAAAACAAGATAGAAACGTACAAAAATATGATATAGTGAAAATAGATCTCTAGACAATGCAAACAAGGGTTTTGGTCCCATGATACACAAGAAGGTAAAATCTCGCTTTTGACTTAATTCCAAATTGTTAAAATCTGTGGCACTCTTTAAACCAACAGATTGTTATAACATGAGCTTTCATGCATTACAGCCCACTTCTCCTTAGCACATTATATAATATAATAAAGAGGATGAGGAATATAAAAAGAGTGCAGGACTGGAAGTGGAATGTCAAGAGTAAGACTGGAGAGAATTTGGATGTCAAAAATACTGGCAGTGAGAGTTTCAGAATTAGCAATGGCCATACACAGAAATATTCATGTCCTCACCTATAGGCTAAAATTCAACAGTAAGTTGCAAGTAGATTAGTGCATTAAGTCAAAGGAACTTACAGAAGAGTTCACACACCTGATCCCCATTGATTCATTGGGCCTACTCTTGTTGCAACTAATTATTATAGTTCATCCTTTATGTGCTAAGCACCAGTTACATAATATAAATATCTACTGTACTCCAAAATGTATGCATGCATTCATTCACTCTGCTTTTCTTCCAAAGATGGCTTATTGGGAAACTAAAATGTATTCATCTTCTAATTTAAAACTCCTTTTCAAAGTTTTGCAACAAATTATATTATAATGTTATTATCAATATCTGTGGCACTGGCAATTCTTGTTTAAATACTTGGGGGTTTTTTTGCTCCTCCCCACCATTGTTATTTTCAAAGTTGTAAAATAAATGATTTGTACCTGAAGACACAAATATATGTTCAGCCAACTAGCTTAGAAAATATATGTTGTGACTGCTTGACTAGTCATGGTATGTTAAATACAGCAACCAATATTTCCAGTGATTATTCTCTCTTATGCTTGGCAAAGTGATTTGGGCATTTTGTAGATGGGTTGCTATATTTCCCCATTGCCACATGGTGACTTTTTAACTTAGTCCCTCCGGCAGTATGGAGTCTATACTTCTAAATGCACTTCTGAATTAACCCAGTGGCAAGAACTGGACAGAGGGAAGGTAAAAATACAGGTTCAGTCCATATAAATGATCATAAAAAGAGACTTCGCCATATGGTAACAGTAAACCCAACAATAGCAAAAGGTCATGGGATTTGGGGGAAAGATTATGCACTGTTATCTCTCTTCCTTTACAGTATATAACCTGAAAAGTCACACACTGAACACTGGTACAGTTTATTTTTCCATTCAGATATTAATGGATGAGAATTTTATTTCAGTTTCTTGCAATTCAGTGGTTTATGACAGGCTGAGAAAGAGACGCTTTAGAAGAATGGGTGCCATCCAACACCACAATGTGGAAACTTGGCTCCCTCATCCAAAACCAAACATCATGTTTTGCTCCTTTTAGATCACTCACTCTTCCATCATCTGACTCACCAAGCTCCTAGACAGAAGGATACCACAAATTTCCCACCCTCCAGCACCTTAAACAGGTGTTGTGGTCAGCAGCCACATAAGCTGTGTGCCTTCAGAGATAAGCTTTGTATAAACCAGGGTGCAGGCTGGATTCTAGTGTTCGTTCTCTTTCACCTCAAGTTTAACTTAGACTCATGTTTTGGCCAGATATTATTCAGCAAGAACTGAAAAGCATGGTTTCATGCATGAAAAATTCTTTAGGTTCTATCCTAGCCTTATGTGCTGTGGGCGAGAGAATCTAAGAGGAGGATATTGCGACTCGGGTTACAGTGTAACCATCCTGACTGGGATATTTTAGAAATCCCAGAGACTATGAGGAAAGAGTAACTTTTCCAACTTGTAGTTACAACTGTGAAATCTAGACAAATTGCTAGCACTATCCAGGCTCCTTTTGAGGATTTATCAAAAACCAGTGTTCACTAGATTTAGCTCCAAAGCCATTTCTTAATCCAGGGCTGGACGATTCAATTTGTGCAACAAGACAGTCTCTGAGAATGTGAAAAGTGTACTGTTTGTACCTTCATTAATTAAAAACAAACAGCTAAACACATTTGAATTTAGGTTGATAGGGTTCATAAGAATACAAGAAGCAAGGCTGCATTTCAAACAATATCAGAAGATGACTAAGATCAAACCAGGAATCTTTTGAATGCAAAGCATGGGCTCTACGACTGAGTTGCACCCCTTCATAGCCCAGGCGCTTCAAATAGGATTGAATCTGGAGAGCCTTCCCATTTCACTACATCACCCCCAAGAGGAAAGTGTATCTCCCTAAATTCTCTGAACACTTCTATACCAGAAAGCAGTTAAATCCATGTACTGTTGGGTGTATCTCCTTAAATTCTCTGTACAGAAAGCAGTTAAATCCATGTACTGTTGGCATCCTCCAATAGAGAGGGGGGAAAACATACATTGTTTTATTGGTTGGAAATTTGAACTTAAATAATAAAAACAACAATTGCATTGATACATAAAGGATCATAGTGATTACGGGGTCAAAGAAATTAAGGATTTATTGTATTTGTCAGGGCTTTCACAGCCGGGATCTAATGGCTGTTGTGGGTTTTTTTGGACTCTTTGGCCGTGTTCTGAAGGTTTTTCCTAACGTTTCGCAAGTCTCTGTGGCCGGCATCTTCAGAGAACAGCACAGACTGATTTCTCATACAATTATTACAACTTGTAGAATTTGTACAAATTCCTCAGAATTACAATCACGGATGCTTTGTTGTGTGAACTGGTAAGCATCATAAGCACTGGATGGGTTAATTGCATCCATTTTAAGAACCGGCCAACTTTTCTGTGTTTACTATGTTTATGCATGCTTTGCTTTTCAAAGGGAAAGGAAACTAGATTTATGCACACTGCTGCAGAGAAATAGTGCACCAAGTGCAGAAATCTCAATGGAATAAAAAAGCATTCCTTGTCTCACCCTCTCTCTGGAAACAAATAATCTATTGGGACTTGAAGTTTCTCATTAAATTGTACCACAAAAGGAGGAATTTAGCAAGTAAACTGGGTATAAAATATTAATTTCATATTAGTCGAAGTACCATGGTGGGTCTCTCAATATTTGTAAGGTGAACTCTGATACCTTTGTTTGACCATTGCCGGAATCCTATATGACATTCGTGCACAATGCAAGAAGAATTGTGGAAGTGGCCACAGCTGACTGATGAGATGCTGGCCATCTGTTGGTTGCATGCCCAATAGCCTGAAACCTTGTCAATTAGCTGCCATTAGCTACAGCAACTTCTGCAGTTCCCCAAAGCACACACTGGACAAAATTTTGGCCAACAAATGTATGAGGTATCATTATCTCACTGCTTTTCAATTACTGAGCAAAATTTGTGTTTTGTTCTTCAAAAAAGTACTTTCTGTCGAACTATGTGACTGAATGAACCAACAAGTGTATCAACTGAATGATTAGAAGTGGCAGATACAAAAGAAATCAATGCATCACATCAGAGAAACTTATTAATAGAGTCCATTAACATTCTAAGTAGAAACCAAGAAAAATGCAGATGTTGCTGCTGATTTGCTGTGGGAGCTGTTTCCTTTTCTCTCTGCTTTTGCAAATTATTTACTCTGCTATTGAGCTTTCCATCAAAGGCTCCTCTTCATGCCCCTCTCAAATAAGAATGAGGGCATGGATGCATGGGAGAAAAGTGTCCTGCTCTGGAATGCCCTCCCAGACAAGGTCATTTGGTGTAGTCTTCGGTGCCGTGTTGGTACAAAACAAATAACCCCACTCTGCCTTCTTTTAAATTGCCCACTATTCTGCTTAAATACCTTTTACCTTTGCAGAAGAATTCTGGGTTGCTTATATGTTTAGATGTTTATGTTTATTCTGTTTTATACATTTTAATTTTTCTATCTGAATATTTTAGGGATCAAGGGAAAGGGGAAATACAATATACACCAATATGGTGCATCACCAACCAGATTAACACTCCCTGTGTCATAAAAAGACACACTTCTTATCTCCCTAAAACTACCCTCCCTTAATCTCAATTCCTGGATAAATCCTCCTCCTCTTCTGTTATTACTTAGACTTTTGTACTTTCCCATGCAAGCTTCGTCAACCATAGAAAAATGGTGCATTGTTCCCTCGTGGTGAGGAATGTTGGAAGTTGCAGTCCAACCACATGTGGCAGGCCATGCTTTGCTCAACCTCTGGCTTAAATAATTCCTTTCTGACTGGATATTTGAAGCAGTACTACTCTTACTGCCGGGCATTTTTTTTTTTCTGGACATGGGCTAAGTCAGAAAAGGCATCAATGGCTTTACTTCAGAATAAATTGTTTGGGAATTACAGTCAACGATGCTGTTCTCTCCACCCTGTTCATTTTAGGAGAAAGACAAAATGCAACAATTTATCTCCCAATTTTTACTTCTACTTACAGTAACTCTTTGGTGCAGTTCTTCTTTTGTTTCATCATCATCCCACAGGTCATCAGCCACAGAGTTATAATCGGCTTGCCACTGAATTACAAACTCTTGCTTGTGATCAGGGCGTTTCAAGAACTCCTTGAAATGTTTTCTGTCAACGGTCAAAAGAAAAGTAGTCAAAGGTTTATTCAACAGAGGAAGGCAGTAGAAATCGCATGAGGAATTTCATGCCATGAAATCCCATTCACTTCACCTTATGTCTGACAGGTAATAAATGATAACGTGCTGTTCAGCTCTGAGATGTCCAAGTGTAGCCTTGATGTTCTTCACATATGTCTTCTCCACCGTTTCCCAATAAGGAACTAAAAATTCAGGCACTTCCTGTTAAATATTTTTTTAAAAGAAATGGATGTTAAGTATCTAATATCTACCAATTAGGCTACTTCACTAACATGTTCAAGGAAAAGGAGCAGCAAAGAGAATAAATGAAGGTCTTACATTATATTTTGTCTCCTCTTAGGGCCTGACTACCCAGGCACTTTGCTTGAGGTAACCAGCCTACTGCCCCCACAGTGGCCATACCTGCAACCCAATGGCGCACTGGACTTCCTAGCAATCCGATTTAGCTCGCTCCACCCTAGCCATGTACATAAGCTCTCAGTTCCCTTCTTTGAAATCATCTTCTGGGTTGCCAAAGCATTGCACTCAAATCCAGTTCATATCCCAACTCAGTCAAGATGTTCATTGGGTGACTTTGGGCCAGTCATTATCCCTCAGCCTAACTTGCATGAATTCTATTATTGTTGAAGATAAAAGAGTGGAACATGCAGGCAAAAAACTCATAAAACCTCTCACATTCCTTGCAATTTTACAAACTCTCTTCTCAAAATCCATACCCATACCTTTTACCAGCATGACTTCACTTTAACATGTCCTTCAACTGCTACAATCTCATTTTTATTTCATCTTTTTTTTGGCTAATTAACCCTTCTTTATGCCAACTTCCTTCCTCTCTCATGTCATTTGTTTCAGGCACTTTCTCTAATCCTGTCTGAGGGCCTCTTTTTAAAAAGGGCCATGCCACAAGTTAAATTAAAACAGAAACTTTAGGCAGCACATTTTAAGTATAACTAGATGTGAGAGTGGAGAAGCTAGAAAATCTGTCAGCTTTTCTTTCTTCTGCATTTGAATGATTCAACCTCAAGCTTTTCCAGCCCTGAATACGAAGAAATTTCTAACTGAACTGAAATGCTCCCTCATTTTCACCAGCTAAATGCAAATGTAGAAACATTCCAACATCTTATATTTGCTTAGCACATATAGATTCTAAAGGTGTGTCTTTTGGGGTGGGGCGAGTGACCACTCTAGTTCAGCATGACAATCTTAGTTCAATACATAAGAAATCAAACCAAGACTCAAAACCCTTAGCCTCAATAGTTTGGTCTTAAAACCACATCTTTTTTTTCTTTTCCACTTGAAATTTAGAGATAAATTCTTATGTGGAAAAAACATTACAAAATGTTCACTCATTTTTAGAAAGAGGATAGATCTGGACCGTGGGTTAGAATCAAGAGAAACAACCTGTCTCTTTGATAATGCATGCCAGCTACAGTAAGGTGTGCCGGGATACTTAACACAAAGTCACAGTCTTGTAAGAGTTGTTGGTGTGGGAAGATGGTATAACAAAGAGTGTCATGGCACCTGAAAGATTCACAGGCTTTATTTGACTGAAGTTTTGTAGAGTGCTGCCCACATTATCGGGTGCAATCTTCATGAGATGCAGCATCTGAAGAAGTGGGCTACAGTCCATGAAGGTTTATGGCAAATAAAACTTGAAGGTATCACAAGACTTTTTGTTGTTGTTGTTGATTTCACTGCAACAAAATAACAGCTGGCACCAGGAAAATTTCTTTGGGTAGGGAATTCTTGGCATGGAAGAGCCTCCTAACGGTGTCTGCCATGAAACTGAGGCTTCTCTCAAGAAGAAGAACTCAAGAACTCAAAAAAAAAATCTTACATGTTTTCTGCTAAAAATGGAAGGTAAACAAGCAAAGGGCTCAGAACAGAAGGAAAGAAGGAAGGACCAAGAACTCCAAAAATAAAAAACCCAAAAAAACTTACATGTTTTCTACTAAAAATGGAAAGCAAACAAGCAAATGGCTCAGAACAGAAGGAAAGAAGGAAGGACTGGATTTTGGAATGACCTACTTGGGGAAGTGGTTCATCTATGTAAACCCATTCACTTGATCCCGGTTTAATTGGAGGTGGTTCTACAGGAGCAGGAGGCAATACATCTTCAGGTGAAGGTGACAGAGACTTCCCCTGTCCTTTTCCTCGCGGAGTGCCTTAAATGTGAATATATCATTAGTACGAAGAAAACATTTTACCTAGGAGTATCTCAACAGGTTATGATCAATGAACCTTGGTTGATTTCCTTGAACACCCTGCTTATTGGGCAGCTGTATTTTTTTCAGTGTAGTACCGACATGTGTTTGCAGGAAAAGTGAACCTTTTGCTTGACAGGTGTTTAGGACTACAAATTGCACAATCCTTTACTATCAGCTCGTTGATTGGGGTTTATTATAGTGGTTAATATTTTACTGCACAATACCAACTGCAATTGCATTTCATTTTTATTTTATTTCCCATAGCTAGCCTTTTATTCTAAAAACAAGTTTAAAGGCAGCCCTGAGAATGAAGCAGAAATTGTTACACACCACTTCTGCTACTGACCATATACAAAAGTTCCTTCTGAATTCACACTCATGTTAAGTCAACACATTCAGGGTTGATTTTACACACAATTCCAGCTAGGTGGCTTTATTACTTATTCATTTCCAAATGTAATTTATACCATACAGTTTCTCAAAGAAATTAATGGCAGCTAATTTTAAGTCAATGGGGCCGATATGCCTTGTGGTTCAGTGGCTGCAATACTGCAGTCAAGACTTTGCCCACAACTTGAGTTCCATCTAGACAGGTTCAGGTAACCAGCTCAAGGTTAACTCAGCCTTCCATCCTTCTGAAGTTGCTATATTGAATACCCAGCTCATGGGGCAGGGGAGCACAAGATGTAGTCTGCATAATTATATTGCAAACTGCCCAAAGAGAGCTTTAACCACTTGGCTTCTTCAGAAACATGGAATGCCTAACTTAGGGTCTGTAACTTTTCCTAAATACAGTGGGGTCTTGACTTGAGAACTTAATCCGTATTGGAAGGCGGTTCTCAAGTCAAAAAGTTCTCAGGTCAAATCTGCATTTCCCATAGGAATGCACTGAAAACCATTTGATCCGTATCTGCTCTTTTCCGTCCACCAGAAACATGGAATGCCTTACTTAGGGTCTGTAACTTTTCCTAAATATAGGAAGGCCTTTTTCTTGGTGGAGTTTAATGTTCTTCCCTCTAATTTATTAGATGACAGATACAATAAGATCTCAATGAACATACTGTGAGATGCTGCCCCTGCAGCACCTCCAAGGTGAAGTCTATTTTGCATAGATTTTTTTATTGCATTTTTCCCCAGGAGGGTAAGAAAGATCTTGAATGTCTCATTATTCAGTCCTCCCTAAATGTTTTTCTTCATCTCTTTTCATTGCTTTGCTTCACAGCTCTAAGATGTGCTGAAATTCTTGAATATGACGATCGTGGCAGCATAACTACAGGGTGGGATACTCCAGTAGGTCCGGGGTTGTTACAGTACCTTTATAAGCTTGCATTTTTAGTAATGCTAATGTATTTTTTATTAAATTGTATAATGGCCTGTTCTCTGTAGATAAAGATGGTGATGAGGATAAGTTTGTTTCGAGGGGATGAGTTTAGTGCTGTGGCACTTCTTGCTATTCATTTCGAGGTTCTCTGTCAGAAACAGTCAATTATTAGGTGCGAAACAAAGCAAAAGCACCCAAAAAGAAGCTCCAGCAAGTAATTGGTTTTTTTAACATAATATTATAAGGATTTCTTAGGAAGGAAGTGGTTTCAGAGAAGTGAATGGGTGGAAATTCATTCCATGGTCAGACTTCCTGGTCCAAAGTTTGTCATTAAGGTTCCAATTAAGTATAAAAACATTGCCTTAGCAGGGAAGCTCTAGCAGAAATTGATTTTCAAAAAATATTTTTTAAAAAAATTCCGGATTTCCTTAAGAGAGAATGAGTGACTTTGAAAAGTGCAGGTTTGGATGGGAATCTCAGTAAGATCTAGTGCTCCTTTGCTACTAACACAGAACGGCCCAGAAAAAGAGGAGAAATACTTTTGCCCAATTTGGAAGAGCTCTTACTTGATTCAGCTTCCAGTCCTCCATTCTCCCCACTAGCGAGCAAGCTTCGGATTTGTTTCTAAGCCATTCATGTGCAGATGCTGTCATGATGATGGTTTTTTTGCATCCCCTAGCTTAGTACACCAAAGCATGGAGCCTAGCCTTGGTACTCTGTTATTCAGGCATTTGAGCCTTAGCCTAGCCTCAAGTTAGCAGATGGGGAAGCAAGCAAATATGGGCATCCTACCCACTCATAGTAGAACTGCTAGACAGCTCTGTAGTTTAGGTACGTATCTGGCTACGGAGCCGGACATTGAGAGTTCGATTCTCTAGTGTGCCTCCTTGAAAGGGGTTGGACTCAATGAGCCACAAGGTCCCTTCGAGCTCTGTAGTTCTCAGATTATTATTATAAAAATGTTCTCACTTTGTTTATAAGTGTGGTGGTTGTAACCCCAAATAGAAACATTCATCAGACATAACCGCTGTTCTAAGGATAATCTTGGACTGCAGGCTGAAATACCAGCAGAATTTTAAAATATCCTGACCTAGAGAATGAGTCTTTTAAAAACGGATGTTTTATTCATTATTATTTAAGAGAACCACCCTGCCCAACTGTGGTGTACAACTTTTTGAAGGCTTGTGACCTCCTTCCCAACGTTCCAATTCATAGATTGCCTCGCACCCATGGGTAGCAGCAGCAAGAGACCCTTTGACTCATCCTTTCCCATAGGAATAATTATGACTGCTCTGCAAAGACTGGCTGTGTACACAGCAAACAACCGGTAAGCTTCCCCATAGACTTCATTTCCTTTATTCTGCCTCCCGGCTCCACAGCTTATCTCTTGCTCTGACCCAAACCAGATGCTGCAACAACTTGTCATGGCAAACATGTACACTCCCATGCTCCTCCTGCATGACTACGGGAGTTTGTCAAAGTCCCCGTTGAGTCTCCGCAGGCTCAATCCAACTCACACTGAATGTCAAGAGTTCTGCAAAACATTTTGACTTTGCAAAAGCGGTTAATATGTTAAAAATGTGAAAGAAAACCATTTTAAAAACACTACTAGAGATGGGCATGAACCTTGATTTGGAGGTTCGTGCCAATTCATACACAGGGCACCATAGGTGCCACACATTCCCATCCCCTGCCTTCCTGGCCATCGGTTGGGGTGCGCTCCTCTCCTCCTTTTCTTTAGCTGCTCAATCAGTCCCTGGCAGGAGCATAGGTTTGCCTGTCCTGCCTCCTTGTCTGAGTAGGCAGGGCAGGGAAGCCTGTGCTCCTGGCAGGGACTGGTCAAACAGCCGAAGAGGAGGAACAGGGGAGCATGGGCCAGCTGGTAAGTGGGGATCCATCTGGGGAGGTGGAGGAAGGGAACGGGCAACACCTATGTTGACGTGCAAATGAACTGGCACGAACCTCCAAACTGAGGTTCATGCCCATCTCTAAACAGCGCACCTAGCCCAACCTGTGATTCACTAAGCTCTCTTTAATCCTACCAGTGATATAACATGGTTTACTAGTCCTATGGTACTCACTCCATTTTGTAGCCCTGGGCAGGTATCAAGAAAAGGGTGATGATGCCCAACTGGCACCCACAGTGGGATAGTGGATCACAAGCTGTGTTCTTATTAATTGACATTTTTCACTTGGTTTATGATGGGGGGGGGCTTGGAAAAGAAGAAGCCAATGTAAGCATCTTCAGTAGAATGCCCTGGCTTACTTTTGGCAAGCATCCTCACCCATCTCATAAAAACTTTGCCAATCCTATTTTTACAGAGGAGTGTAAAAATGAAAGTAACTTTTATTTTGTGGTTACCTGGGAAACAGTGCTAAAAAGCTTTTATTTTTGTGGTTACCTGGGAAACAGTGCTAAAAAAAATAAAATAACATTCTACGTTACCTGGTTTACCTTCTTTTTCTTTAGCTCCTTTGTCCTTCTTTCTTTTTTTACCTTTAACAGGTGTCTCTGCTGGAGGTGATTCTGCAGAAGAAATCAAGATGCACCAGTTAAATGTTAAGGTATATTTCTTAGCTGGTCAGTTAGAGCTTGGTCATCAGTTTATCAATAAATGGAAAGTACTGGGGAAAGGATTTACACATAAACTCCCCCAATTTCGAAACACTCCGGGTGAATCCGAATCTTTGAGGGGTTTGGGTCTTTTGATTTTTTTTTACTGTTGTGGGTTTTTCCCCCTAAGATAACAAGAACTACTGAGAAGTAAAAGAGATGTTCCAAGTTCTGGTGCCTAGAAAATGAACTGTAAAGCAATGAATTCCAGTTTGTCACTTAGAAAAATTTGAGCTCTAGTTATAATTCCTGAGCTTAAGCCAGTATAGATGACTGAAGCATGACCCTGAGGCTGCAGATGGCCTATAAGGCTTTTTTTTAAAATCACTGGATCCCTCGGCATGTAACCCTGATTTTTCTCCAGCAAAGAAGGAGAATTGTCATTTTTGAAGCCTCTTGATGCAATGATTTGCTTTCAAATAAGAGTCATCCCTCCTCCAGTGTTTGCACCCCCCTACATTCATTAATAAAAAACAGAAGTGAAAATCTGGACATTTCCAATATTTTTTCCCCTTTACTTCATTTTTCCACATTTTTGACACGCCCTGGAAGCAGAAAACTAGCCCCTTTACCCACCAAATATGTATACACCCATCTCCAAATGTACTTATGCTTCACCGACCTTTAGATCCATCAGCATCTGGTGATGGAGAAGGTGATACCTGTATTTCTACAGGAGGAGCAATGGCAACTTCCTCCACCTTCTCTGGAGTAACCACAGGAGCCTCTTCTGGCAATGGTGGGATAGCCTCTTGCAGTTTCTCAGCTTCTCTCTGTTCCTTTTCTTTTCCTTCAGTGTAAAATCAGTAGTAAAATACATAGAGATCAATCAACAAGGTCATATACTGTATCTGGAGGATTCATGTTGCCAGAAGACAATTTCAGGATTATCTCCCAGGATGACAGAAAAGCCACAGTTACAATGCACTAATAAAAGCACTATTCCAGATCCTTGCAAAAGCACTTGTGCTGTTTTCCTTCAACAGAGAATTCTCCCCCGTGGATGTCTATTATATACAGTACATCAATGTTATCAGTACAACACAGAAGGCAGGTTACTTACTGTAACTATGGTTCTTCGAGTGGATCTCTGTGAATTCACACCAATGGGTAGTCTCTAATAGTCTTCCCTCAGTTCCCCTGCCATCACTAGGAAGTCTCTAAACGCTTTCACCAGTTGGTAAGGTCAGTACCAGTGATTCAGATATGGAGCTGAGGCCCAGGTTGGTGGAGCCTCAGGGTAGGATCATACCAGTGTGGGTGGGCAAATAACCAAGTGGCAAGGAGAGGAAGAGTGAGATGAGGAGGAATCTGGAGAGGAAGGCAGTTGTGCTTGACCTAGTGGAGGGTTACGGGCCCAGTCCAGGGACTGAGTGAATATATGGGAAGGAGAATGATCTCCTGCTTGAGGAATGTTGTCATCAGATGGAAGAGAGATCATCTCCACGATGACCTGGGGCGAGGCAGGGCGGCACGCAGCTAGGCTCCATCCCGGGAAGGTGTCAATTTTGGGAGAGCCCGCTATTGCAAAGGCTTTGGAGATGCCGGTTTGGAGTCAGCTGCATGCTTCTTTTTCTTTGACAACTTTGAAGGAGAGTTTTTGGGACTGAGATCTTTGGAGCCGAATCCTTCGGTTTCACAGATTTTGATTCGGATGGCTTACAAAAGGATGATGAGAGAGTGGGCTGAGGAGTTGGAGCCGTTGTGCATCCCGAGATGAAACCATATTCCTGGGGGCCTGAAGGGAGGCTTCCCAGAGGTGAACTTTTAGACAGTCCAGTAGGTGCCAAAGGGTAGCCTTTGTGGATCCACAGCAGTACTGGTAAGATTGAGGCTTGTGCCACTCCCCAAGCCAAAAGAGGCAAAGGGAGTGTCCATCTGTCATGGGGAGTTTGTTGCTGCAGCTGTGGCACTTTTTAAAAGGGCCCCTTGAGGCCATAAAGTGCCTAGATACATCTTAAGTGGTGGCAAAAAAAAGGAACTGAGGGAGGACTGTTAGAAGCACGAACAGGCAATGTGGGAGGGTGCAGCTTCTAACAATCTCCTGATTTTTTAGCTCTAGAAGGTTCCGAAGATTTGTGCAAGCGCTGAAGACTGCCCATTAGTGTGCATTCACGGAGACCATGATGAAGAAACTACCTTGCAGGAACTGATGTATGACTGTAATAAGCAAAAAAAATGAAGTAAAATATAGGAATTAGGACCTTTATCACAGCATCATCTTTTCTCGACGATAGCCCACTTCATTCAGTATCTCATCCTCGTCCATTATTTATTTACTTAAAACATTTTCCTCGCACCTGCCTCCTTGAAAAGGAACCAAGGTGGCTTACAACATTGAAAAATGTATACTATGGCGGTTAACATCAGGAAAAGACAATATTTGAGGACTTCTGGCAAGACAGCAGCAAGAGGATGGAGCTCCATCCCCTGGGCTGAATTCCAACCTGTTTGGGACCCCCCAGGGGGTTAAAAATCACCCTGAAGAAGTGGTGAAATGGGGGGAAAGCCTGTTGATTACGGGGGAATGACGGTTACCTATGTTTGATCGGGGAAATTCCCCAATCAACCAGCGGGTGGAAACAAGCAGCTGAACTAGCTTGGATGCAAGTTGTCGGCAGCCGGGAATGAAGAAGCAATAAATCAGCCTAATTAACATTGTGTTACCACTGAGTGAGAAACATTTTTTAACGGTATTCATTTACTAGCCCTGGATGAGACAATTCCAGTGGCAGAAATCGCGTCTCATATGTCTTCATCACCAATTGAGCTGCGGAGAAGCTGGTGAGAGGAGGAGACACAGGGAGACGCAAGGAAAATAAATTGGACATTAATTAGACATTCAATTATGCTTAAAAGAAAGACGTTCAGTATTAATTTGTCGTTGTAAACCTAAGAATCTTTTTTCTGGAAACACTACAGGCAACAACTCTGGGAAACAAAACCTGTTTATGCTATGTGTAACAACTATCTAAGACACTGGCAAAAAGCCTAGAATCAGTGACCTTGAACATTTTATAGTTATTTGGAATTCCCTTTCTCTTTGAAGATGGAACTGAGCTACAGACAAATTAAACCTAGAAAGCCTAATCTAGCCAAAGCAGAACTTATAAACTGTATCCTGGGTGCTGAACTGGATGGGACCGTGAGTCTTTAGATGGGGAAAACTCTCTACGTCTGAGACTGGATTCAAGGTTAATGGAACTGGACTGATTACCTGAAGCATCTGGACAACTTTAACTCGGAATACAATTTTTTGACAGCTGGAACATAATGACACAACAAGGACAATTTTGGGAGGAAAGAAAATCTACCCTTCAAGCAATCTGAGAAATAGTGAGATCCCACAATGAAAAGGCAAAATTATTCAAGGAGCAGTTGAAGAAGAATTATAGTCAACAGGAGACAGGGAATAATGAACAAGGAAATGAGAGGGTGGTGGCTGGTGTATGCCAATCAAAAGAGGGACCGGAGAAAATTAATAGGGAAAACCTAGGAGAAACAATTTTAACCTTGAAGGAAAGTTTTAAAGGAAGATAAGGGGAGAAAATCAGCAGAATTAATTAAAAATAGCCTGGAAAATCTATTGCAGATAGACCAAGTGTATAAAGATCTATGAGATAAATCAAATGCATAAAATGGTTTCAGAGGACACAAAAGATGGCAGAATGTTTAGAGAGACAGAAACAAAAATTGAAAAAAGACAAATAAGAGAAGCAATCACTTGGAAAGATGAAAAAGGGAAAAATAGGAAGGTGGCCCTCAATGTTGAAAAGCATGTATATACCTAACTTCTAGAATTGTAAAGGGGCACAACTTATATATTAAAAAAGAGAATTAAATTGAAATAAGGTAAAGGTTCCCCTTGACAATTTGTCCAGTCATGTCCGACTCTAGCGGGCAGTGCCCATCTCCGTTTCCAACCCACAGAGCTAGTGTTTGTCTGAAGACAATCTTTCATGGCCAGCGCGACTAGACACGGAACACCGTTAAATTGAAATAAGGGAACACTAATCACTTAGTGGCTGGTGGACTCTCCATTGTTTTGAATGGGTGTCTGTCACAGCTGTTCTACAAATGGATTTCCTGTGTTGGCAGAGAGACTATTTCTACGCTCCATTCCAACTGTATGATTTTATGGAAAGCCAGATTCTGGACCTGGTTCTTGTAAGCATAGGATCAAGTTACAACTTGGTATTATCCAAAAAACTCTAGAAATTGTCATATGGCAATAGTGAGTCACGTTTATTTATTTATTTATTTGTTGTTCTTTAAAGATGTAGCCAGACTACTGGAAATGCATATACTGTATTTGCACTTGAAACAAGTAATGATGTGACTGACTTACTCAGATTCTCAATTTTAACAAGTTGTTCCACTAAAATGTCTTTCACTCTTTGACACAAAAGATCCTCCTCTGTCTCTGCATTGATCTTTATCAGTATATTTTGCTGCTCTGAATACCAGGCTTCCAATTTGGGCCATGCCTCCAGGAAACCTACAATTCTGTGCAACCAGAAAAATGCACAGGTCAGATATCAAGAAGGAACTCACAATCCAAATAAGAACTGAATAAACAGGTATATTGACTGTGCTGACATGATAGAAACTTTAGAAGAGATCTACTAGATCAGACCAAAAGCCTATTTAGTCCACCATTTTATTTCAAAAGTGGGGAGCCAGATGGCTCTAGAAAGCAGCCCTCAACATGAGAATGACACCACCTTGCTTCTAACACTCCAGATGGTAATGGACATTAGAGCACAAATCTTGTCATGCCCTATCTTTGTGGATAAGGACGAGGCACTGGAACATTCTTCACTCCATCAGCAAGTCTTGCAAGACATTTCTTGAGGCTTTAGTTCTTGAGTCAGCAAGAATAATGTTATGCACAAAAAACACAAAACAAAAAATACCCACAACATATTTATGTAAAATTCCCAACTCCTCCCACCCATCCAAAATTAGGGTATTCACATGTTGTGCATATTGCAACAAGTGACCAAAATGGGAAAGATTGTGACGTTATTTTAAGAGTTAGAAGCATTAAATGGGTTATTCACATCTTTCTTAACAACTGGCCAGGCTTTCTGTGCTGTCAGTGTGAATGCTTTGCTTCTTAAAGGGAAAGGACACCAGAGATATTTTACGCACATGACAGAGATGCTGGAGTGGTGGAGGGAGACAGCTCTTTGCCTCACACTTGACAACAAACCTCACTGAGGTTTAAAATTCCTTGTTCAGGTTTCTTGCCACATTGACACAACCAAGATCCACAAGAATGAGGCATTTAGTACTCTTTCCATCCATAACAGTGATTGATAGCTTTATTCTCCATGAATCTGTTTAATATCTATCTCAGATCTTGTACTGTGGTGGCCACCACCTTATTTTGTGACAGAAACCACCACAGTTTATTTAAGAATTGTGTGGTGGAGTCCTTCTTTTTCTCAGACTACATTTCACACCATTCAGTTCCTTTGGAAGTCCCTAAGAGAGATGAACTACTGGACAACCTTTGCCACATGGGAGGTGCTAAACCTGTCTAAACATTTTGTTTGCTTGATCAAGAAGTTTAGCACTTGAAAGGTTGAAAAATTAGAAGAGAAAAAACCCATGAAAGACCTACACTTCAGCCATTTTGTAAAATTCTAAGTACCTTCACAACAAAGTAGGACAGGTTTCGTTCTCCATTTATTCTCCCTTCATCTTTGTACCCAATATAAGGTCTATTTATTTATTTATTTATTTATTTATTTATTTATTTATTTATTTATTTATTTATTTATTTATCATTTATACCCCGCCTATCTGGTCATTGCGGGGGAGGTTGTTTGATGAACTGGGGAGGGGAATCTTGCATAGTGTAATCATGCCTTTCCTGAAAGGAGTTCATGGCCCCTGCCATTTTCTTCTTTTTGTTATTATGGCGTTAGGCTGCAAGACAGTCATTAGCCTAAAGTCATTCAGTTAGTTGCATAGCTGAAGAAGGAATTATTGGAAGAATTTTGGTTAATTCCTTTTAGTTAGCAGAGCATAACGTGTCCCCCCCCCAAAAAAAAAGCTGCAGTACAGGGAAACTGTGAAGGAAAATAGCTAAAAATCCCAGCCTCTCTGTTCTCACAGCGACTAGCTCTTTAGATATGAAAATCACTCTACAAGTACTTAAAATAGAAAAGAAAAACATCCTTACTTACAGTTGTGGAACTTTGGTTACCATCAGAGGAATAAAGAAAAGAATAAGAAAGAAATTGCAGCCACAACTATGTGGGAGGCTGAATTCACCACACTGTCCACAGGGCCAGAGAAGAGTAAAGAAGAAGAAGAAACAACAAAAAGGAAGAGGGGACAGGGGCTTGTCTCAAGCCTGTGAAGAAGGACTTTGCTAATAGGTTAGCGGCAGACATACTAATGCTAGGCGGTGAAACCCAGTGTCAGGCTGCATGTTACATTGTTAATTTCTCCAACAGGATTTCCTCAAAAAGAGCCTGACACTCTAACCACTGTAACCTACCATACTGAAGTTATTCAATCAGTTGCTTTTTACTCACCGGTGCTGCATTTGACCTCTCACTGACTCTACTTTTTCTCTTCTGTGGAGTTCAGCTCCTGACAGTTGCTCACCTTTTTCTTGCGCAATTTGAAAGAAGTCGGCTGTTGGATGCAAAATATCAAAATAAGGATCTATCCAGGAAGAACCCTTTTATAACACTGTTTTCAAGGTTTGAATGAGAGCTGATATTAATTACAGCCTCGCTAGAGGGCATTTTTGTAATTAGCTTTTCCCAAGAACTCTCAAGAGGTTTTTTGCGCTATTTAAAAAATAAGAAGAAAAGGCCAAATGCCGATGTGCCTGCAGGAGGTTTATGCTAGGGATGAGGAATTTGGCCAGTTCTGCTTTCTTCTGCATTTACTTTTTTTTTTTTTTTTGCAAAGTTCTTCCTTGAGGAAAGAATTTCTAAGAAAAATGTATAAATGGTGGCAAGACTTCATAAACAAACTGAAAGGATTTTTCTCCCCCCCTTGGATCTCTTAAACTCTGCAAGAATGCAGTTTCCCAGCATGGAAAGGGACATGTTGCATCTGCCTATTGTGTAGCTGCTGAAGACTACCCAGAATGAAATGAGTCTGTAATACTAATTCAGCACTAACCCACTTGAACGAATCAAGATTGCGCCATTTGAGAACTAAGTACTGTTCAGAATCTGAATCTAGACCGACAAGCCTATCCATTCTAGTATTTCCTGTGTTCATTTTCTTTTTAAAAATTTTTTTTTCCCTCCTAAGTATGAAGAAATTTCACAATTTTAGTATAGTCTAAGTTTAAAATAAATGGATGCAAATTTCTCACTCTCTCCTAGTCCCTGCCATACCTTCTTACCCATCTGCCCCTTTCCAGAGTCTACAGGTGATTCTTGTCTACAAGGACTCCTTCTGTACTACATGCGTTGAACATTAAACTTACATCTCAGACTTGCCACCCGATCCAGCACAGCCGAGTCTGAAACATCTAATAAAATAGAAAAATCGAGCCCCGGGAGATGGACAGGGGGCTCTTTTGGAGCTGCTGGGTCTACTACCAAGGCAGGTTTTCGCAAGTTTTTAGCATTTGCTTCTGCTTGGTCTGGGTCTCGCCCCGTCAAAGCCTTTTCAAGCAGTTTGGCCTGATTCAGTGTCATCGGAAATCCATCCATGATCCAACCTTTTTCTGACGGCAATCGGCTAAAGGGAAGGAAAAACACACACACACACACACAAGCAAACAGGAGAAACAAAATATTAACCATATTTGGAAGGTTCACTAAGCATTGTGTCAGCTCTGTTTATTATTTTCCCCAACTCTTCTTCCATGTTAAAATAGGGAATATCAAATATTTTTAAAGTTTCAGTGGAATATAGAACATTAAAATAAAAAGGCCCAAAGAAGTAGCATTTCACTAAAGCAAGGCTAAAACTAAACCCAAAGGAAACCAAAATCAAACCAAAAGTGAGCAAAGATGCGCCTCTCTCATGCCCAGGCCTCTGGTTTTCACATAGGCACATAATTAGCTTTCCTTTTCTTTCTTTTTCTAATCCCCCAATGCCATATCTACATGTTAGCTCTGTTTGCTACTTGTGTCAGCTATGCTATTGCTACTTTGTAGACCAATAACTGACATTATTCACAATTGTCTGTTTCTTTACTAACAAACCACTGTCACTTTGTTTGCTATCTGTATCCTCATCTAGTCATGAGGCCATGTATAAATATGACAGTTAACTAGTCCCACTCTTATGCCTGAGGAAGTAGACTTAATCTACGAAAGCTTGCACGCAAGAGTAGTTAATACTTTTAATAGACCAATAAAAATTTGAACTACAAGCTTTTGTGGATGAAATCCCACTTCTTCAGGGTTATGCACCAATATTTATGGACAGTGCAGAAAAAAAATGTAAATGTAACCGTAAGTCTTTAAGGTGCCACAATGCTTTGTCTCTCTCTCTTTTTTCTTTCTTTTTTCAGTTTTTGATCTGATAATCTTGCACAAACGAGCACAGCTACTCCTTCAAAAATTTCAAGATTTTGGCATGCTAAGAGTGTTATTCTTCCTACCCAATACAGTCTCTTAAATAGTTTCTGTATTTCTAGGTAGCAACAGGCACACCTGCTTCAGCAATTCCTTGCATTGCTGTCTGCTTTGTGTGAGGGCAACATATGTGCCCATGCATGGAAAACAGCTGCAGATCAGGGACCAGGGCAGATTTTTATATTATTTTCTAAGAATGGCAGGGCTTTCACAGAACCTGCTTGTCATGCTACAACTCTATCTACAGGATCCTGAAAACATCTGTTTCTTTCTCATGCTTTTGAATACAGTACAGGTGTTCCTTTTAGGGGGTCATGAAAACTAAATTGTCTAAAAATATTGGCTGTGGTGTCATGATTTCCACCCTCAGAGGCAAATTATCTGATTATATCTACCACAAATAGCTCTTGTTATATTAATGAAGACCTATTGCCAAAATAATTTGGCTGTCATCATGAGTAATGATGAGAAAACCTTAACCAAGCATCACACTTAATCACATACAAGTACAGTTATTCAGAATTGTCTTCTTCATACCTAATAGCTTCCACCATGATGCCAACTAATAATTCATCTGGAATACTTTTTCCTCTCTTCAGCAGCATCTCTGCTCCTGCACCAAGCTGAGCACGAATAGAAAGCTGAGAAATTTATAGGCAGGGGGGAATTAAAATGAAAAAGGGACAGGTAAACATAGGAAATATAGAATAATTTAATTAAACGGGCATACACTCCCCTGTCTATCAGAAGGTCTAACTTCAATAAAGCAACACTTCAATAAAACAAACGTAGAGACAAGCTTAAGGTTAGAAGTTGATTCTTGAGAATTAAGGGCTAAAAAGCATGTAATGCTACTTATTTTTAAGTTGGACAAAATCCTCTTAATTTCATTTCTCTTTATTCATGCAATGATCAACTGCACCAGTAGTTGTGCTATTCACTCCATCTTTTGCAATCAGAAGACCCATTGCTTCACATTGGGTATTTCCAGTTCAAGCAACTGCAAGCCAGAGCACTATGTTCACTGGATGTTACACTCTGGGACTGCAAACAGGTTTCTGGCATTATTTGATAAACCACACAGCTGACAAAAACACCTTTGGGACATTTTAAAACTATAGGAAGCCTCAAACACTCAGTAAATAAATAACTAATTCCAATATTTCAACATTAAAATGTTACGTTCTTTGAAAAGTCAATAATACTAAAATTGATAATAAAAGTGGCAAATAAAAGATTAAATGTCTGCCAAAAGATCTTAGCATTAAACATAAATGTACATAACAAGGGCAATCGATAGCTCTTCTTAGGAAAGGCATTAACCACAAACAGATGGCCATGACAGTGAACGCTCTTTCCTTAGGATTTATATTGTTGTGTAGCTGATTTCTCTTTAATGGCTGAAGAGGGCCATAAATTGGGTAGGAACTGCAGCATGCAGTAAAAGAGGCATTAGCCTTCTGTCACGGCCCAAGTCTGAACCAGAGGGTTCTCTATGCCTTGCATTTGTACTTGGGGTTTCTATCTTCTTCTACACTGAACACTAACTACCACCTGGAAAAGCTGCTGTTTGGGGCCACAATTATCAACATCTGAATTTTTCAAAATTTAGAAAAGCTTCATGAACATGAAGATTCTTGCTGGTACATCTGCTCTACAAAGGACTGGACCTTGACCTATGCAAAGCATGTATTCTGCTGGAATACACAAGAGCCTCACGGTGCAGTGGTTAAACTCCTGTACTGCAGCCAAAACTCTGCTCACAACCCAGGGTTCAATCCCAGGTAGCCAGCTTAAGGTTCACTCAGCCTTCCATCTTTCTGAGGTCAGTAAATTGAATACTCAGTTCGGGGGGAGGATCTATAGCCTGCATACTTAACTTGTACACTGCCCAGAGAGTGCTTTAAATGCTATGAGGCGGTATATAAGCAGAATGTTTTTTTTTGGTTGGGAAAATATTGTCCACATGATAGTCAAGCAGCTAAAAGAGAGGGTAAATTAATTAAACGAATCACTTTTGAGACCACAGATAATAATTTGTTTTTTCTCTTACAGATACAGTGGTGCCCTGCATAGCGAGGTTAATCCGTTCCGGATTAACCCTCGCTATGGGAAACATCGCTCAACGAAATGAAAAAACCCATTGAAACACATTAAACAATGTTTTGTTTTTTTTGGTTGGGAAAATATTGTCCACATGATAGTCAAGCAGCTAAAAGAGAGGGTAAATTAATTAAACGAATCACTTTTGAGACCACAGATAATAATTTGTTTTTTCTCTTACAGATACAGTGGTGCCCTGCATAGCGAGGTTAATCCGTTCCGGATTAACCCTCGCTATGGGAAACATCGCTCAACGAAATGAAAAAACCCATTGAAACACATTAAACTTGGTTTAATCCGTTCCAATGGGCCCCGAAACTCAGTTGAGCGATGCTTCCCTATGGCCAGCAGCCATTTTCGCGCCCTCCCCTCGCTTAGCGAGGGCGCGAAAACGCTGTGTGCGGCCATTTCGGGGCTTCCGGCAGCCATTTTGGAGCTGCCAAATAGCTGATCCGCGGGTCACAAAGTGAAGGTCGATAAGCAAACCGCTTACCGACCTTCGCTATGCGATTTTCAGCCATAGAGGCCATCGCTTTGCGATCGCATTAGCGATCGTAAAAACGTCCTTGCTATGCAGATTCGGCGTTCTACGGTGCGCTTGCTAAGCGAGGCACCACTTGTACTCCATTTACAGGGAAACTGATCTCTGTAACGCACTCTTGAATAAATGGTTTTGCAGATATTTGTAATACTTCAAAAACTTCCACAGTGTTTTTTCTCTTACAAATACTCCATTTACAGGGAAACTGATCTCTGTAACGCACTCTTGAATAAATGGTTTTGCAGATATTTGTAATACTTCAAAAACTTCCACAAGCTAGAGTCACAAGAGTTGACAGGGACTTCAAGGGACTTCTAATACAAAGTATGAAATCCACTGCTACAGCATCACTGAAATGCGATCACTCCACCTCTTATTTAAAAACATCTAACAAATGCAACTCCACCATTTGGAAGGGAGTCTGTTCTACACCAAAGCAGCTTGTATCAATAAGAAATTCTTCCTAAGGTTTAGGTAGTCAAAGTCAAAGAGTGGTCTTATAGACCAGATGGGGGGCTACAAATCAAATCAAATCAAATCAACAGCATCACTGAAATGCGATCACTCCACCTCTTATTTAAAAACATCTAACAAATGCAACTCCACCATTTGGAAGGGAGTCTGTTCTACACCAAAGCAGCTTGTATCAATAAGAAATTCTTCCTAAGGTTTAGGTAGTCAAAGTCAAAGAGTGGTCTTATAGACCAGATGGGGGGCTACAAATCAAATCAAATCAAATCAAATCATCAATCAATCAATAGGTGAAATTCTCAGGGTTCTGTTCACTTGATTTTTAGTTATTTAATTGATATCGGACTCTGTGAATTATTATTAGTAAACTGAAACCACTCTTAAAAGCTATTTTCCGGAGCAATGGAAAAACAAATCTGCTGTATCAGTTACGGGACAGTCTTTCAACCATCAGAAACACTTGATTCAGCAGAGATGATAATGGGACCAAAAAACTCCACTCAGATAGATAGATGTATATACCACTGACAATAATGTCTCTACTATCCACCTCCAAGTCTCATGTTTTGGTCAGGCTCAACCTTAGTAGCTACACAGAAGGGAAATTAAGATCCAATGGCATACGTTGGATAATTCATCTTCAGATTCACTCATCTCTTCTTGGTCATTTAGCTGAACAGAGCCTGATTTTTCTGCTTCTAGGAACAGCAAAAAACAGCAATCATATTTCTATTAGTATTAACACTTTATACTGAAATATAATTCTCCATACCATGCAAAGGTTCATGACCATTAGAGGTACTGTACATCACGGCTATGAAGAAAGTTACCTTTAATTTCACCACCCAAATCAGCTCATGTGTCAACAATACTTGATAAAACTAATACAGTGGTGCCTCGCTTAACGAGCGCACCGTATAACGATTTGGCTATGAAGAAAGTTACCTTCAATTTCACCACCCAAACCAGCCCATGTGTCAACAATACATGATAAAACTAATACTTGGTTGTGCATACTGTTATTTCCCAGCAATTAATGTGGAACGTGTATGTGAAGCTTGTGTTCCATACAGAGTTTTTAGATATAGCATTTGCTGCTCAGACATATTGTAGAGATCCATCTTTTGTGCTACTCTAAATGGGAGTTGACTTGCTCTACGCAATTTTGAATCCTGCACACAGACAAATAAGTTAAAATGTTAATTTTCAGGGCATCATATGGATTTCTTATTGAACAACCTTGAGATACAGATCCTTGAGGTCCATGCAAAGGTTCATGACCATTAGAGGTACTGTACATCATGGCTATGAAGAAAGTTACCTTCAATTTCACCACCCAAACCAGCCCATGTGTCAACAATACATGATAAAACTAATACTTGGTTGTGCATACTGTTGTTTCCCAGCAATTAATGTGGAACGTGTGTGTGAAGCTTGTGTTCCATACAGAGTTTTTAGATATAGCATTTGCTGCTCAGACATATTGTAGAGATCCATCTTTTGTGCTACTCTAAATGGGAGTTGACTTGCTCTATGCAATTTTGAATCCTGCACACAAATATGTTAAAATGTTGACTTTCAGGGCATCTTCTCATACAACCTTGAGATACAGATCCTTGAGGTCCTTTTCTGGGAAGGTGAGGCGGGAGCAATGATGATTTGTTCCCTGGAGACCTGTGGCCCCCACCAGTCCCATTTGACCTTCTGAAGGGCTGAGGAGTTAAAGAGAGGGTCTGACATGGGAAAGTCTGTGAGGCATTTTGGTGACCCTGGTGGATTAGATTAGGTTTGTAGGCCAGACATGCCTCTTCCCTAAAGTTCTTCTTCCCCCTCCCCACAAAAATCCTCAAAGATAACCTGTTGGGGTGATGTGAAGAATGAGGGGAACTGACCCCATCCCACATGGGCACATAGTATTACCACAGTCAGCCACAGTAGAGAGGGCACACAAGTGGGCTGAAGTCCATATCAGAAGTATGGGCTTCAGCTCAGTCAGGTTTGGCACCATGGAACCTTCCATCTGAGCCCTAATGCAGAGGAAAATGACAAAGCAAACTGAAGCCTACTTGGGATCCATTGATAATTCAGAAACAGAGATTGCAATAGGCCAACTCTAAGCTGTAACAAGCAGCACCTGCCACAGCACTCTGCACTAAATCTGTACAGTGGTGCCTCACTTAATGATTGCCCCGCTCTACGACGAAATCGCTTGACGATTAGGTTTTTGCGATCGCTTTTGTGATCGCAAAACGATGTTTTAAATGGTTTTTTTCGTTTAACGATGATCGGTTCCCTGCTTCGGGAACCGATTTTCGCTGTATGATGATTAAAAACAGCTGATTGTCGGGTTTCAAAATGGCCACCAGCTGCTTAAAATGGCTCCCTGCTGTGTTTTTGGATGGATTCCTTGCTTTACAGACAGCGAAAATGGCCACCCCATGGAGGATCTTCACTGGACGGTGAGTTTTCAGCCCACTGGAACGCATTGAGGGGTTTTCAATGCATTTCAATGAGCTTTTTAATTTTGCTTAATGACATTTTTGCTCTACAGTGATTTCGCTGAAATGAATTAAAGTCGTTAAGCGAGGCACCACTGTACTTTGGAAACACATCTACAGTCTGAAGTTTCAAGTTCTTTGCACAAACGCAGATGAATAAAATTTGGAAAGCATTTGTCCTTCATACTAGTTCACTGCAGGTGCAACCCAAGGGTCTGCCAACCTTGGTCGGCTTCCAGACTGCTTTTGTTCCTTCACTTTAGACCAGCCATGGCCTCACATTAGAATTCTGAAGTAAATGCATTGATTTTATTACCTTTTGGCTCCTCTGCAGGTAGCACGTTGAGGTTCGTTTCTGCTACGTCGTAGTGAGCTTTTACCGCTACGATTGAAGCGCATTGATTTCATTACCTTTTGGCTCCTCTGCAGGTAGCAAGTTGAGGTTCATTTCTGCTGTGCTGTAGTGAGCTTTTACCGCTACGATTGAAGCCCTAGAAGCCTCCCTCAGGACCTTTTCAATCCAACGAACAAACAGGTAAGGAAGCAAACAAACGATTAGCATATTGCTTTCCTGCTGTGAAACAGAAGTAAGTTTTGAAGCCTTACTTTAGAGCATTGCATATCATGCAGCATTTTTAGGAATACAGTATACTGTAACAAGAGGCCTGCTGGACTGAACCAAGAAGAAATTTGAGGCTCTCGCTAGAGGGATACAGACTCCTTGTACTAACTTTAGTTACAAAGTGGCCAAGGGGCGTATTGTCAAAAATCCTGCTTTTTGACTTGTGGAAGTTTTGAAGCCTTACTTTAGAGCATTGCATATCATGCAGCATTTTTAGGAATACAGTATACTGTAACAAGAGGCCTGCTGGACTGAACCAAGAAGAAATTTGAGGCTCTCGCTAGAGGGATACAGACTCCTTGTACTAACTTTAGTTACAAAGTGGCCAAGGGGCGTATTGTCAAAAATCCTGCTTTTTGACTTGTGGTGTATACTGTAATAAGAGGCCTGCTGGATTGAACCAAGAAGAAATTTGAGGCTCTCACTAGAGCAGGGGTCTCAAACATGCGGCCCGGGGGCCATTTGCGGCCCCCCCAGATGATGGTTTGTGGCCCTCGCCTTGCCTGCCCCCCAAAACGCCCACACATCCTCTGTTGTCAAGAGTAAAAAAAAAGCCTTGCCTCGCTCGTTTATGAAACAATTATTCCTATGGGGTTTTTTTTCATAAAGGTCTGGAAGTGTGGACAGAGAGTGTGGCTGTAAGACAATGGAAAGGTACCCGGAAATCTCTTCGTGTTTTGGAGTTCCTCCAAAGACTGTGCATCTGCTGAAGTCGGCTGCAGGTAAAATGAGCTTATGCTGAGCACTAGAGGGATACAGACTCCCTGTACTAACTTTAGTTACAAAGTGGACAAGGGGCATACTGTCAAAAATCCTGCTTTTTGACTTGTGGTCCACAGCTACTCAGCCTTTCCAGCCTTTATTCAAGGTCCAGGTAGATTTTTATGAAACAATTATTCCTATGGGGTTTTTTTTCATAAAGGTCTGGAAGTGTGGACAGAGAGTGTGGCTGCAAGACAATGGAAAGGTACCCGAAAATCTCTTCGTGTTTTGGAGTTCCCTCCAAAGACTGTGCATTTGCTGAAGTCAGCTGCAGGTAAAATGAGCTTATGCTGAGCAAAACCTGCTAGTCTTTAGTTGGCATAAGACTTTTTGTTGTTTGTGGGGAAGTCAGGGGCAGAATCCAGTAGAGCACTGATTTTCAACATATAGGTCTAAGGTGTGCCTTCTTTACATTTTTTCAAAACAGGGAAGAACTTGTTGCTCGGACATAAAGAAGACATACCTTAGAGAGCAGTAGCTACCTCTAACCTTTGGATTATCATTCCCATCAGCAATAGCTGGAAGAGAACATGGTTCTAGGGTGATGGGAATCATAGTCCAAAACCTCTGTAGGTACCACCTTACCTACTTCTGTCTTCAAGAGATCTAGCAAATGGTTGACAGGTTTCTCTCACCCATGATATAAAAGCAGTGAAAAGCTGAAAGAATCATCAGTGTCTCTTATATACACATTCCTTTTATCCCACCATCATCTTTAGTGAAGCAGGTTTTTAGAACACTACAAAAAAGTGCAAAATCAGCTTCATCAGAGACAGCCATGTGACAAAACAAATGAATGCATGCATTTAGAAGAAGAAGAAGAAGAAGAAAGAAGAAGAAGAAGAAGAAGAAGAAGAAGAAGAAGAAGAAGAAGAAGAAGAAGAAGAAGAAGAAGAAAACTTTTATTGGCATATGTTTAAACATAATGATAAATTAGTTTATTATGCTCTCAAGAGGTACGATCCTCCCTGTCTTCACTTATCCCCTTCTTTCTTCTTGTCTTGGCACTTGTGGAGTTCAAAACTTTTTGCTTCTACTTTTGATTAACTCCAACTTGCTCTGATTATGCAACTTGATCATCAGGAGAGGCCGTTCTCTTGGTCTCACCATCTTCACAGGTACATTTGATGGGGACACAGGAGAGGGCCTTCACAGTTGCTGCTCCAGACTTTGGAACTCCCTCCCACAGGAGGCAAGGCTGGCCCCATCTTTGCTGGCCTTCCACAAGCGGACAAAGACCTTTCTCTTCAGGCAAGTTTTCTTTCAGTGACCGGCAGCCTGAGTGGGGTTTTTAAATGGACCATTATGCCCTACTGCTTTGAATGTGATTTTGGTATTGTTTGCTTACCAATGTTTAGAGTGATATTTGATTGGCCCTTTTAAGTATTTGTATACTTACTGTTTTCAGCTTTAAATATTGTCTTTTAATGATGTAAGCTGCCTTAGGTCCTTTTTAAGGAAAAAGGTGGAGTAAAAATACAAATGAATGAATGAATGAATGAATGAATGAATGAATGAATGAATGAATGAATGAATGAATGAATGAATGAATGAATGAATGTCCAGACCCAACACACTGTACATACTCTTAACTTTGGTTTAACTTTAAAAAGCCAGTATCAAACCATAGTTTTCGAAGCTGACATGTTTCAATAAACCACAGTTAAGACTAAGGTTTGGATGTAGTACTGGACCATGATCAACTGAAATTAGAAGTGAATACTTCAGAACTCCTTACTGAGTTTGCACAAAGGGGGAAAGTATGGTGTGTCGTCCAGACCCAGCAAACTAGAGAATTTTAACTATGGTTTAATATCTTAGTGAATTACTGTAGGTATCTGGCCGCACTCATAGGAATGGGCTGCAATTTCATTGCTCTACAAATAATTTTTAAAGACCTCATAGGAATGGGCTGCAATTCATTGCTCTACAAATAATTTTTAAAGACTTACAGCAATTTGATTCAAGGAAGGCACTTCTATTTTGCAGCTTTGAATCACAGTGCTTTCACTCGCCATTTCGTTCTCATGAAAGGCTTTGATAGCCTCTACAATCAGTGCATCAATCGACAGTGCTTGGATATTGCAAGCTAAAACAGAGAAAATCAGGCTGTCATAAGTGTATAGTTGAAAGAAGCACAAAAGAGCACTACTGATTGTTTTGAAACTGACATTATCTTATTTTATGGAAAACGTATTAAGATACTCTTGAGGAACACCTGCTGGCTTTGATGGACAAGTTTCTGTTCTGTCCTAAGCTAGTTGCTTTGAAATAGGGAACCCAAAACTATCAACATATCATGGGGTCCCAAGATTAAATGCCAGCATTGCCAGTATTAACAATAATTTAAAAAGAGGTATAGTTGGGAATGACTCTTGTCTGATATGTTAGAAAGCTACTGGTAGATGAAGTAAATGAGACAGAGACAGACCTGCTCTAGCTCAGTATATGAAGCAGCACTGAACCTTTGCACTCACATCTTATAGAGTGGTGCCCCGCATAGCGACGATAATTCTGCTCTAGCTTAGTGTATGAAGCAGCACTGAACGTTTGCATTCACATCTTATACTACCCCTATGGATCTCCAGTCATTCACAGTAGTGACTGGTGGGAGAGCAGTGCAATTCAGCAAGATAAGTAGTAGAAGCTTCTAGGGTCCATCCAACATTTTAGTTCTGTTCTTCTCAATAGCATCTAAGCATGTTTAATTTTCTTTGGATTATAAGCAGATCACATTTTGCAGGGTTGGCTCCACTAATATTTGCAATCAACAAAACACATTTCTGAAAAAAGCCCCGAGAAACGAGAAACCATGAAAAATTAGACAAAAACGGAGGGGGGGGGGGAAGTCCTACCTTTTTCTAAGAACTTTAAACAAGTGCTTTTGCCACTAAAGAGTTTTCCCAAAATACATACCTGTGGATTCGTCATTAAACGAAGCGCTCATTATGCGGGGCACCACTGTACTACCCCTATGGATCTCCAGGCATTCACAGTAGTGACTGGTGGGAGAGCAATGCAATTCAGCAAGATAAGAAGTAGTAAGATAAGAAGCTTCTAGGGAGTGGCATTATGGATCCATCCAACATTTTAGTTCTGTTCTTCTCAATAGCATCTAAGCATGTTTAATTTTCTTTGGATTATAAGCAGATCACATTTTGCAGGGTTGGCTCCACTAATATTTGCAATCAACAAAACACATTTCTGAATTGGGTAGTACACTAGCAAAACTATAGCAGTGTGTGGTAGCTTCTAAAAACTGGAGATTCAGAGATAATTTCGTGTTACTTTTTCTAAGAACTTTAAACAAGTGCTTTTGCCACTAAAGAGTTTTCCCAAAATACATCCCTTGATGGGAAATGGAGAAAATACAGGTGGAGGTGGCTCAGGCTCTGGAGGATAGAACAATCCCATCAATCTGTAAATCACATGACCCAATATGATGTTACTGGGTGGAGGTTTATTAGCTCTGATCTCTTCGGGTGGGTACCATTCCTCAGTCATAGTCTGTATCAACACAAATCACAAAATAAAAGGAATGTATGAAAAACATCAGCCTTACTGTAAAAAAGGTACAAGACTGTACTCTTCTGGGTGCTTATTTAACGAGACATTTGACTGAACTGGACGAAACTTACATCTGAACAAATAAGCACAGGATCTGGTTTAGAAATCTTTATACCAGAAACATTGTGGTGGTTTACAGATACAAACTAGAGCCTGAGAGATTTTAGGAAGCAGTGAAAATCCCAAGATTATGGTCACTCAAGAACAAACGTGTTACGTGGAATTTCTGTGATTGTCATCTTCATTTTTTAATGGTTTTTTTAAAATTAGGGATAACGTAGAGGGGGATATGGGGGGAAAAGAGGGGGAAGGAGAACACAAAATGTACTGTCATCCAATTTGTTTGTTCATGTTGCGATATCAAGTCGACTTTTCGCCTTTCTACAAGTTGATTGCCCTCCAGGTTACAACTTACAGTTACATCTTAGTTTAATTCTATGCTATTCAAGCAGTATCTGGTGACTCAAGCTATTTATATAATCAATCCCATAATTCAGTTGCCTTTTGTATTGGACAGTCTTTCAACACTTCTGTTAGAATATCCATTTCTGCCACTTCCCATATCTTCTCAATTAAGTTCCTCTTATTTTTGCATCTCCAATTTCTTCCAG